CTGCAACTCCAAAACAATGTAAGCTGTTGTCATTGTTCTTTGTGGCTTCCCCAGAAGCTTGCCAAAGACACCACACGCTTTGGACACAGCCCTGGGAGGGACTGAGCTGGAGCTGACCGAAAGCCTCCTCCCTGAGGACTGCTCTCACAGTCCTGGGTGCAGGGCAAGGTGCTGAAGGAGAAAGGGTTATAATCCCACCCAGCTGCTGGCAGTGATGCTCGTGTGTTGTCTGTCACTAACCACGTCCTAGCTGGACTGAAGGCTGTCTTAACAGGTGGGAAACCATGCCTGATGCAGTAACCTTAGCCAACTATGTGACTAGTGAGACCATGATCTTAGAGGAGAACCGACTGTACCTTCTTAACTGACTTTAGATGTGTGGCTAGGTTAAACATAGCAATTTCCTCCAATATTGATCACGTCCTAATGAAGCTCTTCAGAATCCTTTGGTCCAGCTTTCTGCAATGTGGCACACAATTAACATTAGCACCCCAGACCCTCTTGCTGCTCAGCAATCCGTCATCACCACTGACCGAGTGTTGCTCCCCCTTTCAGTTCCTGGCCTCTCGCGCCCCTGGTACCCACTACTCTGTGCTCAGATTCTGAGATCAAGGTTGTGTAACCCACACACGCATGGAGTCATGCAGCTCTTGTGTTTATGTGCCTGCCTTATTTCACTTAACACAGTGATCTCCAATTCTAGCCACCTTGTCACAGATGGTCACTACTGCCCACTGTGTTTCATTGCCAGGCTTTCTGTGGTCATGTGATGGACGCTAGCCTCTTTCCATTTCTTGGCTATTGCTGCGGTGTACATGGGAGTGCAGACGTCTCTTTGACACACTGGTCCCCCTCCCTTGAATATACACCCAGCAATGAGAGCTGGACCATATGGTGTTTCTATTTTTAGTTGTTTTTTTTTAAGGACCTTCCATCTTGTTCTCCAAAATGGCAACACTAATTTACATTCCCAGCAACACTGAGAAAGGGCTCCCTCTTCTCCTCTCCTTCTGTAACAGCCCGTTCTCATGGGGACACATTGATAGCTCACATCCGCTTCCATCTGTGTTCCTGGGGGCTGGTGGGATTGAGCACTGTGCACACACCTGTTGAGGCACTTACCCATCTTCTTTTCAGACGTTGTCTACTGTACATTTTTTATCAGGTTGGCTTTTGCTGTTATTTGAATCCCTTCTATCTAGATATCCACTCCCTATCTGATGTGTGGTTTACCAGTATGGCCTCCCATGATGTGTGCTGCTTCTTCACCCTGAAGGCTGCTTCCTCTGCTCTGCACACGTTTTGTGCTGTGTCGTAATCCCATTTGTCAGCTCTTACTTTTTATTTTTGACTGTGATATTGTGGTCTTGCCACACAAAAAAAAAAAAGACCTTGCCCATTCATATGTCCTAAAAGTTTCCTCTACATTTTCTTCTAATAGTTTCATTGTTCAGGGTTGTTTTCCCTGGTTCTCTGAAGAAGGTCTTTGTTATGGATTGTAATGAATTTCTAAGACAACTTTTGGTGATATGTACATTTTGATAGTATTGATTCATCCAGTCTATAAACACAGGATGTATTTTGATTTATTGTGTCTTTTCAATTTTTAAATACTATTTTGTATCATTTTCATTGTAGAGATTGTTCACCCCTTTGGTTAGATTTACTCCCATGCATTTTATTTTTTATAGTTACTGAAAATAGGGTAACTTTCTTGATGTCTGTTTTAGATAATTTGCTATGGGCATTTAACAGCACTAACTTTTACATTTTGTGTCTGGCAACTTTGCTAAACTTCTGCATTAATTCCCATAGGTGTTTGGTGGAGTCTGAGTTTTTCTATATATTAGACCATGTCATCTGCAAATAGCGACAGTCTGACATCCTCTTTTCCAATTCAGATGCTTTCATTTCTTTGCCTTGCTTGATCATTCTGCCCGGGGCTTTCAGTACTGTGTTGAATACAAATGACGGTCTTGTTCGAGGTACTATGAAAGAACACTTTTAGCCTTTTCTCATGAAATACAAATTATATGTTAGCTTATTATATTTGCCATTGCTATGTTAAAGTATATATGTTCTTTACCTAACTTGTTTACTGTTGAATGTTTAATTTTATCAAAGGCATTTTTAGTGAATTGTGGTGATCAAATAGTTTTTGTCCTTCATTTTGATGGTTTATTTTGCTTACTGATTTACATATGTTTAACTATTATGAATAATGATGATATTCTTTTTTATATGCTAATGTTTTTTTGAAGATTTTTATATCTGCGTTCATGGGGTAATTAACCTGTTAGAACTGAGTGTTCTTGTGTGGTTGGGGTAACAACAGGATAAGGCTGGTGTCGCTGGCTGTGGCTGGAGAAATTACGTCGTACTCGTCCCATTTTGTGGACTCGTTGAGGAAGAACTAGACATCAGTCCTCCTTAATGTGTGGTGGAACTCGGCAATGCAGTTGTCTTGTCCTGGCCTTTTCTTTGGTTGGAGATTGTTTTCAAATCACGGATTCAGTTTCATTACTTGTCATTGATCTCTCCAGCTTTCCTCTGCTTTATGGTTCAGCCTTGGTAAAGTGTATAGGTTCAGGAAATTATCCATTTCTGTGGTATCCATTGCAATGTCTCTTTTCATCTCTGATTTTTATTTATTTATTTGAGTTAGGGACTACTTATCCCTGGCTGTCCTGGAACTTGCTATGTAAACAAGACTGGACTTGACCTCACAGAAATCTGTCTGCTTATGCTGGGATTAAAAGAGTTTGCTGAGCATATCTGATTTATTTAAGGCCTTTTCTTCAGTGTACAGGGGATAGAGGTGTGTCTTAAGTCACAGGCACTCTGGGAAGCAGAAGGAGACGCTGGATCCCAAGGAGCTGCAGTTCCACGTGGTTGCAAGCCACAGGTGGGGCTAAGAGCCAGTGTGGGCCTCTGCGAGCTGTATGCGCTTTGACCGCGAAGCCATCCAGTCCTTAGCTCTCCAGGTTTTCATCTTTGGTATTCGAGTCAATTTGGTTTTTCTCTACTTGACACAAGATCAGGTCAACTAGGAACCTCAATAGAAAAACAAATTGCCTCTCTCATACTGGCCTTTAATCAAGTCCATGGGGCATTTTCTTTTCTCTTTTCCTTTTTTTCCAACATAGTATTTTTATTAATTATTTGGGAATTTCATACAATGCCCCCCAACCACACTCATTTTCCCATACCTTCCAGGCCCCCACTTTTGCGTCCCCACCCCACCCCACTAAAAAGAAAAATACATTAAATCCAATTTATCTTTCCCATATACTCACTGGAGCGTGGTCAAACTCACAGTGACCAGTCCCTTAGAGAAAACTGAGGTTTCCACCACTCCCACTCCCACCAGAAGCCATCAACTGTGGAGAGCGACCCTTCAGCATCTGTACCACAACCTTTAAGGGCTCTCTTCAGTAAATTCCTGTCTGGACTGTTCCTTTTCTTCTCTTTTTTCTTTTTGTTTTTCTTTTCTTTCTTTCTTTTTTCTTCTGACACCTGCCATTTTTCGTTGTTTTGGAGGTAGTGCTGCATAGATCTGCAGGTCTAGCACCTGCCACCTAATTTCCCCTTATGCCTCCGTGGGTTTCTCAGGCTCCTTGGACCTGCCCGCAGCCCCGCGACTACCGCCACCTTGAATCAAGCCCTGCATTTTCTTGATTAATGACTGGTGTGGGTGGTGTGACTGTGGGCAGGTGGTACTGGTTGTAGGAGAAAGTAAACTGAGCAGACCGTGGAGAGCAAGCCAGTGTTCCTCCATGGTCTTTGCTTCAGTTCCTGTCTCCAGGTCCCTGCCTTGGCTTTGCTCAGTGCTGACTGTGGCTCAGGTCTAAATCAAGTAGACGTTTTACTCCCCAAGTTACTCTGGCTTCTGGTCATCCTAGCAATAGAAAGTAAACTATGGCTGTATTTTCATTATCTACTTCATTGTCTTATAATCTGATATTTATTATCTTTCTCCTTCCAATTTTGGTTTGGTTTGTCAGTTCTGTGACATGCAGCCAGAGGCTGTGTATCTTCTGTTTCGTTCACAGTCACTGATTACTGTGAACTTGCCTCTCGACACTGTTTTGTCCCATCACTTAGCTTTGATATGTGTGTCTCCACTCTTATTTGCTTCAAGAAATGGAAAACATTCAATTTATTCATTGTCATTCAAGAATAAGATATTTAACATTCTCTTGTTTGTATACTATTGAAAGTTTTCCTTCTGATTTCTAATTTTACTGTGGTGTGATTGAAAAGATACTTGATATGACTTCAGGGATTGTTTTAAATCTTGTGTGCATAGTGTGAAGGGTGTGTCTCTGCGTGTGTGTAGGTTTGTGTGCGCGCACGTGCATGTGTGTGTGTGTGTGTGCGCGCACGTGCGTGTGTGTGTGTGTGTGCGCGCACGTTCCTGTGTGTGTGCGCGCGCACGTGCGTGTGTGTGTGTGTGCGCGCACGTGCGTGTGTGTGCGCGCACGTGCGTGTGCGTGTGTGTGTGTGTGTGTATGCACATGCCATTGCACACAGATGGAGGACACCCTCAGGTATTGCACCTCACCTCCCACCATGTTTGAGCCTGAATCTTCTGTTCACCCTGCACATACCAGGCTAACAGGCTCGCGGGATTCTGGGATGCTGTGTCTGCTCCCCATCTTGCTGTAGGAGTTCTGATACTATAGACCCATGCTGCCATGCTGTGGGCTCCGAGGCTCAGGTCTCCACACTTGTGTGGAAAGCACCTCCTTAGCCCTTGACTTCAGTTTTTAAATTGTCCAGGCTTCTCTTCTGGCCAGTGGCTCGTGAATGGATGTGATGACGCAGAGGAAAGGACAGGGCCGAGGTGACTCTGGGATTTCAATCCAAAGCAATGTCTGCATAATTAAAGTGCGTATGCATATTATGTTGGGGGTGAATAGCCTCTGAGACAGGCATTGCAGCTGGGGAGGATCACGAGGCGGGAGTCCTGTCTTATCTGTCGGTTTTGTGGCTTTCAGGGAATTGATGCTGGTTGCCCATCAGAAGAGCATCGAGCAGATGCAGGAAACCCTGAGACAGAAGCTGCTGAGTGACGAGAGCTGGAGAGAGAAGGTGACCCTGGCTCTCATCAGCGCGTGTCTTGTCTGCTTTAGAAATATTCTGTCCTTTTGCCAGAAGCTGGTCCAGATAGATTTCATTGCTACTCTGAATACTTCTGCTTCCATTTGGAATTTCCCATTCCAAATATACTTAAGATATATGCATTTTCCAAAATATTAGACAATATGATACGAAATAAAAACGGAAAATAAAAAATAGAAATTGAAATTTTGTAATGTTAGGATTTTTCTCGGTTCTTACACAAAAAACCATAATTTTAATCTTTAAATATTTACTTTTTTCCATCTAGTGTCAGAATCTGTATTTGATCATATTTGTTAAAGAATAGAAATACTAATAATTCTCACTTCTTTGCTTCTAAGATAAGAGAATAGATGTGATTTAAAATTATCAGTTAAGAAAATTTGACCAGTTTACTCTGGCAGGGTTAAATAAGTGAGCATTTCTCTGTCTACCACTAAGAACCATTTGCTCTCAGAGCATGAAAAATGTACACTATGGTCTTTGGACTTTGCTGTATTTTTCAGGGTTTCAACAATGAACAACTTAAATACATCCTAATAGAGTAAGTCACGCTTCTTAAGCCTTTAGTCTCCACTTTCTCCACATGCACAGCCCTATCGCAATGGAGTAGTGATGAAACCCTCCCTGCCACAAATTTTAGTACTCCTCTGATGCCTGCAACCACCCTGGGCTGGAGCCTTGGCCTTTCTGCTCTTCTCTCCTCCCTTGGTGTCTCGTACCCAGCACAGGGCTTCTCCCTCAGCTTTGACACTTGTTGCGGCAAACTGGGGGTGGCGCTAGGTTTGGAATCCAAGACCATGCGCTGCTAGGCAAAGCCCGACCCCTGAACTGTACCCAACCCTTGGTGCACTGTCGTCCTTTGATTTCAAAGTTCTCCAGAACGGGAGCTTTCTGCTGAGGTCCACGCGGTACGGCTGTGCTCTGTGTAATTTGTTCCGCCACTCTCGGGTTCTCGTTGAGGATTGGATCCTATTACTTGCCACCTCAGCCCCCTTCAAGTCATTGCTTCCTCTTACAGTCCTGCACTGTGCCACCCAGCATATCGAAACCATTCACGCTCTGCTAGATTCTAAATTTGTCCCTTCCGTTCCCAGTTTCCAAACATCCTCAACCAGCACTAGCGCACTGTGAACCAGTGCCTTCCCCCTTGTCCTTAGCTAGATTAAGGCTACCAGATGATCATCTGGGTGTGGTGTTACACACCTGCTAACCCAGTGCTAAGGCTGAGGCAGGAAGAATATGACTCGAGGCCGGCCTGGACTGATGAGACCCTGTGTCAAAAAGAATATCACTGTGTCAAGAAGAATGCACAGTGTACATGGGCGGTGGGGGGTAAAATCTGAGCCTATGGGCTGCAGTTGCCCCGGCTAACCCCATATAGCTGACCTTGTCTTGCTTGTGGAAGGTGCCTGCTTCTAATTTTTGATAATATTTGATGTGCTTAGTTAGATGGTCTATTCTTATTTGTTTCCCTGATCCTTATCATTTGAATACCTAAATACTCAAAAAGATGATCTTCCTAGCATGTGCCAGGCCCTGGGTTCCATTCCAGCACTACCAAAACTATCAGACAAATAGTCCAAAATGTCCTTTAGCGCCAGATGTTAGAATAGTTTGGGCACTGTGACGAAGACCTAGAAAAGTAGGCAGCTGTGGCCACAGAACTTGAGATGAAAGCAGCTCTTTGAAGAACAGTTTGTGGATATTTATTATGAGACATTCTCTAAATGCCCCGTGCTTTAACTCTGAGATTGTTGTGGTGGAGTTAACCCAGATAGAGATACGACAATTATTTTCTCCACCCCCTGAGATCTTCATCTTAGAACGTTAATAATGGCATGAATGTTCCTGCCTTTCCCTGAGATGCTCTCCACCCTCCCAATCCCACTGGGGTTTTTAGGTACATCCCATTGCAAAAGGGTCTTTATGCCTCATTCTGGTTCTTCTGCTCAGAGATTAAGCTAAGCCTAGCATCTGACATTAAGGAAAAAAATCAGTGTTCTTGCTTTCTACAAAGTTAATCCCATGGTGAAAAGAATCCTGTGTCATATTGTAACCGTTCTTCTTAAGTGCTTGCCGTGTCTCCGGGACATAATGCTTGTCTCACAGATGGCCCCGGCGTGTATAATCTCCTGTAGTGAAAATGGGTGTCTCGTTCTGTTGAGAGGACAGCATGTCTTAATAAATGTTACTGTTTAACCAGCAGTAAATCACGCTCAGGCCAGTAAAGCCAGAGAATGATAAGAATGTCTTGACTGTGTTAGCTATTAAGGCTGTGAATAAAAAGTTCCCTAAAAGTCCTCTCATGAGAAAGGAGAATCACTGATATGACATTGTCATCTCTTTCTTGGGTCACTGTGCCTTTGCGTAGGCATGAAATGTTCTCTTTACAAATATATAATGCACAAATTAGAATAAACTTAATAACTTAAATGCTTTTAACATTTTGAAAAAGTAGATAGCAATCTGTGCCTTGCTTAATTATTTTAGAGCATGTAAAACACACACACACATAATAGGATCAATAGTTGCCATGCAACAAAGAGGGCACATTTTCAAAGAACTGTTTACTGATTGTCATGATTTTTTGTTTATTTTAGGTATTGCTTGGATACAAAGAAAGCAAATTAGTGGGCACGATGAACCTTTAAAATTGGTTCCAAGTGCACAGTGTATTGTTACTAATAATTTAAAATTTTGTGATGGAAAACCCTCTTGCAGCCTGAATAATTACATAACCAATTTATATCAGTTGTTGACACTCACTTTTTAGTACAGAAGACAAATTTCAACCAAATATTTTCTTTAGATTATCATTAACATATTGCAGCCTAGAAACATTTGGAGTGTACTAACGACCTCATTTTTAGTACATAGACCTCTTACAAACAAACCCTTGACCATAATAACCAGATGGACAGTGAAATGCAGAGATGTAAACTTCACTGCAGGAAATAATAAACTCGAGATTGGCCAGGTTGGTGGCTCATATCTTTAATCCCAACACTGGGGAGGCAGAAACAGGAGAACCTCTGTGAATTTGAAGCCAGCATGGTCTACACAGAGGAGTTCCAGGCCACCCAGGACTACATAGTGAGACCCTGTCTCAACAAACAAGCAAAAGAGAAATAATAAATTGAAAAATAGAAGGAATTTTTAAAAAGCTCATTCTTTTTCCAGTAGAATGTTCAAATGGCCGTATGACTCCTAATGTGTTCTAACCTGCAATCAATGGACGTTAAAAAGACAAGCACACAAAATCTAAAGTTGACAGTGATGAAGTTATTTATAAATGTCATTTTTAATTGTACATAATAAACATATGACTGAAGTATTGAGAGTGTAGCTTATTTTTGAATTAATAAAGTCTAAATATTTTAGACCTGGAATCATCTGCAAGGAATGTCTGACACCAACCAATCATCCAGATAACGAAATGGCCCCCATTGTTAGAGTGTTTGCGGAATGCCAGGCTTTGTGCGGAACAATTTTTATAAGTGGACTTTAACTTTTATGACATCATTGTTCCAGTTTTACAGATGAAAAAAATCACCGGGACTGGGGGAAGTTAGGTAATATATCAAGGCTGCAGAGCAAGGAAATGAGCAGCTACTAACTTCATCCTCCAGCATCCAAATGCAGAGTTTCCAAGACGTCAGCAATTCACCAGGGTCCAGTCACCATGACCGGATTTGTTCTTCCGTCTGAACAAATAAACCCCTGGAAGAAAAGACAGAAAATAGCGGTTGTGAGACATCTGCCAGGGTAGGACCTGTGAGTGGGTAGCTTGGCCCCCTGAAAGTCTTCAGGTCGTGACACGGGAGAGTGGAAAAACAGGCTAAGCCTGGCAGGTTCTGTGAACCGAGGAAACCATGGAGAGGAGATTAGCACCAGTTCTCAAAACAGTGTTTGCAGAAGAGCGGTCCGGAGAGGGAGGATCCAGGTGAATGGTCCACATGTGTGTGTGGGGGGGGGAGCTTCAGTCAGGGAAGGCCAGTCTGAAAGAAGTAAAGAAAAGAATCAAACACTCACATTCAGCCAGGCGTTAGCCTACTTTAGCCAGACAGACTAGAAAAGCTGCAATACGCAGGACACTCAGAAGGCTCTTCCATAACTGTCATTCCATCATTGGTCCTTGTTAGCCCGGAATGAAATGATGAGCTGGTCCTGACAGATGTCGAAAGGAAGACCTAAACAAGCTGATTCTCTCTCTCTCTCTCTCTCTCTCTGTGTGTGTGTGTGTGTGTGTGTGTGTGTGTGTGTGTTGCTTGCTTGCTTGCTTGTTTTTTGAGACAGGGTTTCTTTGTGTAGCATTGGCTATCCTGGAACTAGCTTGTTAGATTAGGCTGGCCTCAAACTCGTGGAGATCTACCTGCCTCTGCTTCCCAAGTGATGGAATTTAAGATGTGAGCCACTACTGTCTAATTAAGATATTCTACTGTTTTTTAGAATAGATAGCACACATAACTATAGAAATAGCAACATACCCAGATTCTGGGAGACAAACAGATCCCAAACATAGCTCCTACCAAGGTAACATTCACGATGTCTGCTGCCTGCTTTATTTATTAAAATACAAGTGAAATATCACTACATTTCCCCCTTTTGTCTAAAATTTAAAAAAAAAGAAGTCTACAACTAACATAAGAAAACTATGTGTAGGGGCTGGAGAGATGGCTCAGTGGTTAAGAACACTGGCTGCTCTTCCAGAGGTCCTGAGTTCAATTCCCAGCAACCACATGGTGGCTCACAACCATCTGTAATGAGATCTGGTGTCCTCTTCTGGCCTACAGGGATACATGGAGGTAGAATGTTGTATACATAATAAATAAATAAATCTTAAAAAAAGAAAAGAACTTCTAAGTTTCTTTAAAAAAAAAGAAAACTTTGTGTAATAATACAATGACATTATAAAATATATACAGACAATAAATACATCAATAATATCTAGTCCATTTGTATTTGAC